CTGTCCCCACTGAAAGGACAGCAGAGTCCTGACACCCTAAAGCCTTAGGAAGTTTCCTCCCCTCCACTTGACTGAGCATTCCATTCAGAGAGGAAAGGAGGCCTTGCCTGTGCCCCATTGCCCCTCCTCTCTGCCCCTTCCACCACAGTGCCCAGTAGACTGAGCTTTGTGTCTGAGAGGGAGCAAGAAGGGAGGATAAAATTCTTCTTGCCTCACTTGCTGTTTTCCCCTTGCTGGATTCCTAGTTCTCCCTTAGTTTTGTTCCTTAGCGTGAATCTTCTGATCCGGGAAAGGTGAAGGGGCTGAGAAATCACTGGGGAGAAGACAGCTAGGTGGGAGCTTGCGGGTAAGTGCCTCCCACAAGCCTCATCTGCTCCCCTTTCCCAGCTTTTCACCACTCAGCATCCCCTCCAGTTCTTTCCCCAGAGTGCCTTCTCTACCTCCTTCCCCACTCCCAATGTGGTTGGGTTCCTGCCTGGAGCCCCTTCCCCGGCCATTCATCCTTCCATCACTGTGGCCTCGTTGTAGGGGTGAGGATAAGTGGAAGGAAGCAGTGATTCCTTGCATTAGGTGTGTGAGCCCAGGTCTGGAGTGAGATGCTACAAGCCCCTAACTTGGTTTGGCCAGCAGCAGGCTCTGGCCTCTGAGCTCTCCTGAGACAGGAAGACCGAGAAGGGGCTGGCATGCTGGCCCTGAGGACTCTTAAGTATTTCCTCCTACTTCTCCTCTTCTGGTCTCCAGTGATTAAACCTGTGGAGGTGTGTGGTGGGGGGAGTCCTTAAGAATACAGCAGGAGAGACATGGTCAGCAGGCAGGACCATTTGCCCATCTTCAGGGAGAAATAAGGTTTGGTGTGTGCCTTATTGGGAAGGAGCATAGCCAGCCTTGTTGAACATGCTTCTTGGGGGTCAAACTTCAGACTGTTAGGGGTGAGCTTTAATTTCAGTTACCTTGGGCAGCAAGGAAGCCCCATCTCTTTCACAAATCATAGGCCTGTGAAACTAGTTTCCATTTCCTCCTTCTTCTCCTGCACCTCCCCTCCCTTCCTCCTCCCTTCCCTCTCTCTCTTTTTCTTTCTATCTGTCAAACCCTATTAACTACCACCAGATATTCATTGCAACTTAGCAAAAATCACATCTCCTTCTCAAAGGAAGAAAAAATAGCTTTCTTGGTGGTACATATGGATCTGGGACTTAACGACCAAAGGAAGTGGGTGGGTGGGATAAGATTAGATATTAAACTCTTTATCAGGGACAATTATATACTTTCTACCCCTGCTTGCCTCTGATCCTTTTGTCCCCTCTCCAGCCACCATCCCCAGCTCCAGTGGTCTAAGGCTGTGAAGATGTTACTCCCATGCTGGATATGAGCTGACGTTTGGTGAGGAGCTGTCACTGCCTCGAATGCCAGCAGTGCCTGCAGCATGGGAAACGTGTAGGGCCAAGTCAGAACTCGGAATGTCTTCTCTTACAATCTCTGTTATGTTTGCTAGTTAGATTATGCCTGCCATCCTAAAGCAGAGCGTATCATTGTGTCATTATTAGTTAAGTAAATGTTGATCATGATGTGATGGGATATGATCTATATTATATCCTATATTGCCTTAGTTTTCATAGATGTGCCACACACACACATACACAATTACAAATTAATGGATTTCCTTTGACAAAATCAGGAAACCCTTAGTAAGGGCACTGAAGTTACTTTACTTGATATTTAAAGCACTAAGCCTAACTGACCTTTAAATTCATTGATGAGAGTGAATTATTAAATTTTTATAATTTTAATAAGCATGTTTGGGTCCCAGGCTATATTTATTTTTTAAATTATGTTTTTGTGCTAGATTCTATAACAACCATGTCCCAATATGAAGAATAACAACTAACCTGCTGCATTAATTTTAGACTTTTCTTGATTTATCACCTTTCATAGTGAAGGAAGCATTGGCTTAAATAAGAGTTTTTTAAGAAAAAGTGACTACTGACAGTATTTAGAATGTTTAGATTCCTGTGTTTTACCTTTGTATTTAGTTTAAATCTTGCAAATAAAAGTTGTAACATAACCAAGCACAAAAATTCTATATGGTTTGAGCAGTTTCTGCACAGAACCTTATCCAGCTACTTCCAATAACTTTAACCAATTGAAACATAGTCATAAACCAAGAAGTCAGCAGTTACACCCTGAGTCACTAGAACAGTTTTCATCAGTTGAGGAACTGAAATCCATATATTTTATTACTATGGAAAAAGACCCGAGGCCTTCGCTCAGAATTTATTCACTTAATTTTGCATATGATTATAAACTTCAATTATCTGATTTCTCAGATTATAAACTATTTAGAAGCTATCATTTAGGAAATTGGGGGCAACAAAGGACTAGCAAATTGACACTGAAAGGATATCTATTCTGGCAGAAATTCAGGAAACAGAAAAATGGCTGTGTTCTTTGTAGTGAAATGTATCATGTTGCAGTGTTTATGAAGAAAAATTCGGATTATGCTTTATATATTCTGCCTCAAAAGGCACAGAAGTATGTAATATATTTTATGAAAGTCTTTTAAAATTCAATATTGTGTAAATAGAATTAGTTTTATAACTTAAAGCACTTTACTTCACATATCATCACCTGCAGAATATTACACTTGAATTATTCCATATGGGTGATGTTGGTATGTTTACACGCTGTCCCAGAAAGCTGGGAGATAACATGTCTTAACCCAGTGGTTCTCAAACTCTTCTAGCCCAGGTCCTTTATTCAAAAGAGATTGTGACTTAGAATTCCGATAAGGAAAACAAGGCAAGGAGGAGGTATTCTGGTCTCAGAAAGTGCACGTGGATCCCTGAGCCTGCTCGGTGTTCTTCCCACTGTCCGCAGTGACTTCTTAGGAACCTCACGGAGTTCCTGGAGCTCTGCAGAACTTAAGGCAGAGCGCAAGGTCAGGCGCGAAGCTAGGCCAGGGTGGGAGTTATTGGTAAGGAAGGAGGCCTTTTAGGGGTCCTTAGATCATATCCCATCAGTGGTTGTCTCCCGTGAGGGGTGTTGCTTTCCTGGTCTGCAGTGTAATCGGCCAGAGGTTTTGTGGATAATGAGTAGACTGGCATCAACTTGTTTCCGTAGCATCACTGTAACTCTGATTGGCAGTGTGACTCAGGTACCCCATGCATTTTCTGCAGGTGGTGCTACAGCAGCCGTCTCTGCCAGGAGATCCAGAGGAAACAGGAGAGCAACAATAATTTGCTTATGGGCGCTCCGCTCATGAAAATTTGCAAACTCAAATTTTATTATTGTTGCCTTGAGTGCTGCTGCTGCTGCTGTTCTTGTTCTTCTTGTTCTCGTTCCCTCCTCTCCCTCCCCCTCCTTCTTTCTCTTTAGTAATAGAGCCGAGACATTTTTCAGTAGTGTAGCTAGATGCTTGGGTTTCCGTTATCCTTTGTTATTTGCAGAATAATTGATTGTCAGACTTATTTAATGTTCCAGACTATGTTCTTTCCTCAGGCAGAGGAAAGCCAAGAGTAATTAAAGCATCCGCAAGCGGGGTAACTAAACCTGTCAGCGGGGATCTAGACTACGAGCTTAGTGGCTACCGTACTGCTGTGTTCTGAGTACTTTGTTGGTGTCTGATAACACTCTGGATACCCCATGTTGAATGGGTAGAGCCATCAGGGATGCAGGAGGCTAGTTTCTTTCCTGATCCTGCCCCTTCCGAGGTGGTTGTCTGCAGTCCTTCCAGTCTCCTTTGGTAGCAGCAACACCTTATCCCTTCTCACCTTCCTGCCACAGTTGGCTCAAAAAGTAGACCTCAGTAGGGAACAGAAGTGGCGAGGTTGCCAGCAATCTATACCAGTGCCTTTCCTAGGAAGGGACTCAGGGCCTTTCACATTTAGACGCTTTGATAGACTATTCCACAGATTGGCTTTGTTATAATAGGTTTCCTTCTGTGCTCAAACCCCAAAATTGTTCATGCAGATCTGCCTTCCAGTCTGTCCTTTGTAGAGAGGGCTAAGCTTTCCTAGTACCAGTTCTGTGGTACTGGCGGTAATGGATTGAGATTCCACCCATTCCTCCTTCTCCCTGTTGCTTGTTTTTTATTGTTAGAGAAAAGATAAACCTCAAAAAGTATTTTTATTGTCAATTTAAACTGGTACTGACTGTCAGAGAGGCCAAATTATATAACGCTTACAAGTGTGAGCTCTGGAGCAGAACTACCCAGCTCAGTGGGCCCTAATTATATGACCTCAGGCATGTCACTTACTATGCTTAAGTTTTCTCGTCTGTAAAATGGGGGTAAGAATTATACCTGTTTCTTAGGGTTGTGAGGATTAAATGAGTTACTATCTGTGAAATGCTCATGAGAGTCCCTGGCACAGAGCAAGTACTAACTTCCTGTTAGCTGCTGTTGCTGCTGCCGCTGCTGTTATTATTATTGTTGGGTGTAAAAGTTAGACTCGTCTTCTTGCTTTTTGGAAGATTTGGGCAGAAATTCAAGTAGCTTAGTGTAAATTTGTGCCTGGGATAGAAGCCTAAATTGACTGGTCCCTTGAAATGCAGACTCTTTGGCAGTCAAGAAAGAATGCTTGTTTTGAACTTAGACCCAACTTTGGGTGTTGGCTCTGCCTCCCAACTACTAGAGTAAAAATGTAAAAAAAAAAATAGAGAATAATATAATGCCTACATTGCTAGGTTATAAAACTTAAAAAAATACAGAGTAAAGAGCCTGGTTCATGTTACATACTCAATATATAGCATCTATTATAATTATTATATTTTGAAGGGAAAATCGAGGTCACCATAAGTCATGGGGATACGGAGCTGCTTGATGGGTCAAAGGACTGTTGATGAGGATTGTCATATTGTATGTTTAAGATGAAATTTTAAATTTGCTTAGTAATATAAACAACTGCAAGGTTTGCTTTATTTACCTATACTCTCTTTGGTACCAAGGACCTCTTCAGAACAGACCATGTTAACATGTCTTCTTGTATTTGGATTGAATGTTGTAGAAATCGGCTCTCAGGAGGAAGTGTGCGGTCTGTAAGATCGTGGTCCACACCGCCTGCATTGAACAGCTAGAAAAGGTGAGACAGCGCCATCTGCTGCAAATTTTGGTACCTTGCAGGTGTTTAGACTTCAAGGACAAGGTGTCAATTTCTGTTTCCAAATTTGGAAAACAATGCCGTTTTAAAAAACTGGAAGTCCAGCATTATTACCAGATTAATAATAGAAAGACAAGTCTTATGGTTTATTCACTCTCTTCTTTGCTGAAGTATAATTTGATATCATTTTATGTTGACGCTTGGGAAAAGGAAAGATAAGATTAGAGAGGAAAGCCTGGTAGGCACTAATTTTCTTCAAAATCATAATTGTTATTTACGCATAGGATTTTCCAGAAGATGCTTTTTCTTAAAGAAAAAAAATCCACAAGCTCTTTAAAATCATTGTTTAGATATGTCTGACCTTTCTGAGTTTACTTCTTCCTAAAGTGGCTGCAAGGGAGAGCGCCAGACTAGAAGCCATCTGTCCTCCTTTCTCGGAGGAGTGCTCCTCCTTACGTGTGGCTGGGGCTGGTGGTGACATCCCCGTGGTGTCTTTCCTCCAGAGGAAGTGGATTCTGCACAGTCCATTTATCTGTCACCCGGGGAAGGGAAAGGCTCCAACTCTGAGTTGTCTGCCGTCCTCGTCCCTTTCCCACCTCCTGCCCCATTTCCACGTGCGATTCTCTGTGCATTGTTGACATTCTTGAGCTGCCACATGTGGAAATATTTTAGTCCTCTGTGACATTCATTTAGTTTCACCGACACATTACCAATTGTTGCCAACTGATATTTTGTGGGAATGACTACTAGTATTTTATCTTAATATTGTTTTTGCTGTCCCAATCCCATTTACTCATCTCCTTCATTTCTACACTCCTTTCACCTTATCTAGTAGCTAAAGAAGATATATCGGGACATCTCCCCATCTAAAAGAAAGGCAGTGCTGAACACTCAAATAAAGAGTAATTTTGTGTGCGTGTAATCATCATTTCTAAAGTTTATATTTTCCTACTTTTAATATCTAAAACAGCCAGATGATTTCAGTGCCAGATATTTTCTCTGACTCTTTATTATTTCAGTTTCTCAAATTTACAGCATAAGAGCATTATTGTTTAAAGGTACTTTGATTTCATCAGAGAATTAAGAGGCGTGGATTGGAGATATAGAATCACGTGGAATCTCTATAGATTATATAAAGTGATGGTTTCAAAAGAAATCATCCTTATTCTTTGGGGATTTTGCTTTGTAGTCTCAATATCTGTCATTGTTGGTTTTTTCAGGTAACTCATTCTAGTCTGATGCTCATCCCTAATATAATACACTTTTCTTTTTAAATGACAGATTAATTTCAGATGTAAACCAACGTTTCGAGAAGGGGGCTCAAGATCGCCGAGAGAAGTGAGTATTTCAGAGCTCTATTTCAAATACCACCTTTTACTTCCCATTGATTCATTGGATTCGTAGATGTTCGCAGGGATTAAAAAATAAAGTCTAGCTCCCGCCATTCCACATCAGTTTCTTATTAATACATCAACAAAATACAACTAATAAAATCCCCGTGTCTCTTCAACACTTGTGTACTGCCCTTTATTCTTCTCGCGGAATGTTTTGGGGAGCTAAGGTCTTACTGAATGAATTAGAGTAGAGGGCGGGGGAGGTGGTGGAATTGAAGAGGTAAGAAAGAAATAGCATTTTATTGTCTTTAGGTCCATTTTAATTCCATTTTTAAATGTTGAGTGGGTAGAAGCTATTTGGGGGGTCGGCATAGTTTCTGAGTATTCGTATCAACACTGGAGTCAGACTGTCTGGTTTCAAAATCAGCCTTGATCCTGTGTGATTTTGGGCATCTCACCTAATTTCTCTAGATCTCAATATTTTCATCTGTTAAATAAATAAACAAAAAATAAAAATAATAAATAAATAAACACACACACACATATGTAAAATTATGTTCAGTGCTCAGTCCCTGACCTCACAGTCTGGTAGTGAAGACAGGTAGATAGGAAATTACGGTGAAGAGCGGTTGCTGCTACGTCAGTGGTGAGCAGAGGCGATGACAGGAGTAGAGCTGCTCTCAGACATATTGTTTGCTCAGCTTTTATTTAGAGGAGCCTGAGCAAGCACAGTATAGGGAAAGGTAGAGAAGATGAGACAGCTGGGAGAGGGTCTCAGCCCTCCTGGGTTATCCTGGATAGCTCCAGGCCCAAAATTGCCCTCCCCAATCAGCAAAACAAAAGCCTGCAATGAATAGAACCCATCCTCCTTAGAACATAGTTGAGCCTGCCCAGCTATGAGCATCTTATAAGGTGCTCTCCATGAGAGAAAGGGTGGTAAGATAATTTTTGGAAAGTATACTTTCTCTGTTCCGCTTACATTCCCAGTGAGATTACTTTCATTTCCATGTATAGATTTTTACCCCCTTGGAAACCCTCCCAGCTCGTGCACTCCTCAAACCAGCTCTGTGTAGTGACGAATAGGAGGGAGAGGGAAGAGGTCAGAGAAAGGGCTTCCTGGAAGAGGCAGCAACTAACTGAGACTCCAGGGAGTTATCTAAGTGAAGGTTGGGGGCAGTTAGGAGGTGAGTGAGAGCCTTCTAGAAAGAAAGAACACATGCGCACCAGCACAGAAGTGGCACAAGAGAACGTAACAAGTAAGACATGAGATCCACGAGATGAGCAGGGGCTAGACTATGAAGGTCCTTGTAAGCCAGGCTACAAGTTGGGCGTTTTCTCATCACAGTTGTGGGGCATTACACTATTGTAAGCAGAATGTATTATTCTGGCTCCAGGGTGGAGGGAATACCATGTAGTTCAAGAGTGGCAATGTTGGAGGAATGGAGAAAATCTAAGGAGCTGTTCTAGTGATCTAGGCAAGAGGTAACAGTGATGTGAACCGAGAGCAACACTGGGGTGGAGAAAATCAGTAGATATGAATGTGAAGGAAACAAAATTGACAGGATGTAGTTGTTGATCGGATTTTTGACACCTAGATGCGAAAGCCCAGAATAAACCAGGCTTCTGCCCTGAAAAGTCAATTAGATGTTGGAAAATGAGTTGATCTGAGGATGGGGTGGGGAGGTGATGAGTTTAGTTGTAGAACTCTCAACTTTGAGGTGTCCTTGGGGCCCCCAGTTGGAGATGCCCAATAGAAAGCTGAGTGAGTATATGAGTTTGGAGTTTATGAGGAAGATTGGGCTACCGGTGAGACATTTGTGAATCATGAGCATATCTAGGTAGTAAATAAAGCTGTGAGAATAGATGAATGGGTAGAATAGGAATAGAAGATGTCTGCATACAAAGAGGATCACTGACTTTTTAACGACAGTTAATGAAAAAAGACACTATGAAAAAGAATGATCTCATTGTTACTGACTATTACAAGGAGATTGGGAGAAAACATGGAAAGACAATATGTTGGGAGTGGAGGTTGCTAAGAGAGGAAAAATAGTTGTCCCCTCAATTGTCCTCTCCTGCTGTGCTTGTCCATTATGACAGCAATAGGAAGGTTACAGGTCATACACAGGGTGAGAGAAGTCTAAGAAAAATGATAGGATTGTGGGTACCCTCGATGCCACCCAAGTGCGCTATACCATTAGCCAGAAGATAACCAGATAGCTTGAATGAAGGAGAAATTTCATTTAGGACAATAGAAGGAATAGTTTTGTGTTTTTAAGATGGAGTTCATGTGCGTTTTTCTACTGCAGGGGTTTTTTTTTTTTAGTTTAGTTTTTTTTTTAGTTTATTTTTTAGTTCAGTAGCTGTATCACTTCTCATCTATGAAGTCAGATCCTCCATAAGTGTTTTAAACACCTTCCCTCGTCTTCTTATCAAGAACTTGATATTTCTTCTTTTCCTACACTTTCAACTCCAACCCCCCTTCGAGATTATTTCCATCACCATAAACATGCTCTAATATCTCCCATCTTAAACAAACAAAAATATTCCTTAACCACCAACTGTCTTAACTGCTCCCTTGATTCTCAGTTTTGCGTTCACTGCTAAACTTCCAGGAAGTGTTATCTACATAAACTGTTTTCAATATGTCACCTCCTAGTCATTTTAACCTGTTCTGATCTGGTTTCTACCTATCCATTCACTGAAATTGCTTTTTTCAGTGTTGTGAACATCTCCCTGATCCCAAATCCATTAGATATTTTTCTGTTCTCTTCTTATTCAATATTTCAAATGTATTCAAAACATTCAATGTTCCATCCTTCTTGAAATGCTCTCCTGTCTTGACCTCTTTGCTCATTTTCCTCTTACTTCACTGGATAGTCCTTCCCACTCTTTTTCATTGCTCACTCCCCCTGATTTCTACGTATTCCTCTGGGCCTAGTGCTTGGCCGTGTTTTCTCTCTGCACACTCTTGTTGGGAGAGCTCATCCAATCTCATGGCTTTAAATATCATGTCTGGGCTGACAACTCCTGACTGTACATTCCCAGTCCACACTTCTTGGAGTTCCATTTGATGTGCCCATTGAATGTATCACAGTCATTTCAAATATGATGCATTAAAAACTAAACTCTTTATTCCTATCACCATAAAACTATTTTTTTCCAATTCTTTTGCACCTCAGATAATGAGATGGCTATTGATCCAGCTCCTCAATCAGGGAAACTGGGGGATCATATTGATTCCTTTTCTCATGTACTCCCCACATCTAATTCATTTGCCAGACCTGTCAATTTTATTTATAAAATATATTTTAAACCATCCATTTATCTTCATTTCTGTTGTCAGTGCCTAACGCTAAGACACCATGATCTCTCACTTTTGATCACTGCCATAGCTTCTCCATGATTCCTTAGTTTTCCCCTTCAATCTACCATGATTTAAGAGAGTGATCTTTTAAAATGAAAATTGGATTATGGCATTCTCCAGTGGTTTCCATAGCATTTAGAGAAAAACCACACCCCTTGTCTTGGCATGAAAAGTCAGAAGTCCTGCATAGTCTAGCCCCAGCCTACCTCTCCACACTCCTCTAGCTGCCACATGGACTTTCAGTTCTTGAGGTATGCATCAAGATATTCCCCACCTTCACATCTTGTGTATTTTATTGCTGGGAATCTCTTTGCATGGCTAGCTTTTTCTTATAGTTAGACCTCAGCTCAAATATCATCCCCTCAGAGGTCTTCCTTGATGGCCACCTCTAAATAGCTTACACATTGTTCTTTATCAAAGCACCCTGTTCTGCCCCTTCAGAGCATTTTGTATGTCGTAATTATTTATGGGCATTACTCATTTGCTTGTTTGTTGTCGTCCTCCTATTGTGTAAGCTTTGGGAGGTCACCCTTGGAATTTGTCTCAAAGGCATAGTACTAGGACACAGAGGATGTGATCAATGAATATCTGTTGACCGAATGCATTTATAAAGGGGCTAATTTCTCCCCAAATGTCTAAGAACTCTTGGTGTAAGAGGACAGTTTGAAGATGAAATTTATGACAATGACCCATTTGAGATTTTTAAGTAAGAGGCTTTAGGTAGTTTACTTAATGTAAATAAAAGAACAGTCACTTTAGAATTAGTTTGACCTGGGTTCAAATGATGCCTCTGCTTCTTTTCTACTTAGTGGTGTCTCTAGAGCTGGGATCTAGAGCAGGGATTGGTAATCGCTGTCACGCTATGCTCTGTGGAGTGTCTGACACGTGGAAGTCTTTTAATGAATGTTGGTTGAACTCCTCTAAGTTGAATCTCTCTGGACCTCAGTTTTCTTAGACATAAACTGTATGGATTGGTCTATAATTTCTAAGATCCTTTCAAGAGCTCTCTAAATAATATGAATTGAAATGGCTGTTTGAAAATAATCGAGCAATTGTGTTAGATAGTTCTGCTAACAATACTGAATATAAACGCTGAAATAATGTGTCACTGAGATTTTTAACACCCATAAATAATAGCCCTTTCCTTACCCAGTACTTGAAGATAGTATATGAATAATTCAGAGATTATTGATGAACGATAAAGAGATGTTATGGTCTTAGAAGCTTTGTTTTGCTATCTTAACAGCAATGTGTCAACACTCATATTTGCAGTGTGAGGATCCTGAGTCTAATTTCAGTTCAGTAACTTAGAAGATATTAGTGACAGTCAAAAGGAAATAGTGTGAAAAATGGAAAGTGCTTGGGAAATAGGATTAGAAAACAGTAGTGATTCCATCCATAGATATGTTTTCCCCGCTAATTGATAAAGGCAATCAATGATCCTCCAAAATGGTAACTACATGATTTAATTGTCAAAGAAATTAGGTTGAGAATTCCATTCAATTCAACACACATTTAATGGATGTTTACTTTGTTCAAACTATGTTTAAGCAGTAGTAGAAGAAATTTATATTAAATCTAAGAAGACCTCTGAATAGAAGGATGCTTGCCATCTCAAATCAGAGACCTATAGATTGGAGGCAGTTACTTGGTTTCTTCTATATTAGTGCTTTTGTTTAAGTTACTTTATGCCTTAATTTCCTACCTAGTATTTCCTAGGAGGGATGATATTAAAAATATTTAACAACTTAGAGAGTCATATATATTAATATTTAAATAAACAATTTAAAAATGTTCTCTTTTATTCCCTAAATAAACTAAACCACATGGTATTATAAATCCGCTTACCAAAGAATATATGTTACAGCACAAATGATTCATAAGGCAGTCTCATAATTTCTAAATAATTGTTGACTTCTGGAAATTGTTGGTTTAATCTGTTGATTAGAGCTGTCACTAGCTAAATAATCCCATGAGTCAGCCATGATTTCACATAGGTAATTGCATCAAATTCTTCCAATGTTTCCCTCCTTAATTGATAGTCATTAGGTGATTTATAGTCTCCGTAAGTAGAGAATTTCTTTTACCATCAATGATATTGCTCATAGGCCCTCAGCTTCTGCTAAACCAACAGTAGTTATAGTAAATTTCTCTCTCCCTCTTATGATACTGTCTGACATTTTTATATTTTCAATGTTTCCACTACTGACTGTCATTGAAATCATTTATTGAAGGAGCTTGAGCCTGAGCTTTCAAAACAGAGGAGAGGCACAGTGTAAGAGCCTGGGCTCTACTGCCAGCCTGCCTGGGTGTGAATCCTTGCTTGGACCCTTACATTTGAAGTGACTGCTCTATACCTTAATTTTGAAATCTCTAAAATGAAGATGATAATGATGATTCAAGTAAAACTCTCTGATGATGTGCCCTACAATAATGTGAATTAGTATACAGGACTATTGACAGTTGCCCCCAGTCTTCCCTAACCGTTATTCCTAAACAGGCAGTGGGCTACAGCTCTTACCACTTGAGTGGGTGGAAAGCTGATGAGGTCAGCCTCAGCTATGAAGCAGAGAGGTGGAGGGTCCAGTACCTTCATCCCCAGTAGAGTTTTTGCACTGAAGTGATGGTATGGACACTGATAACTGGGCAGGTTCCCGAACTTGCTGCCACTGTCCTGAAAGCCACAGCCAGCCATGGAACCCAGAATTATCTATATTGACATTTAAGCTTGTGTAGACAACCACCGTCAATTGAGCAACAGCCCAATCTTCTGAGTTAGGTGGGGGGACCCAATGGCATTGCCCAGGCAACGTGATTTGTTTTCAAAAGAGAGCTCATTGGAACAGAATCTTGGAGACCTGTTATGCCAAAAATTAACTTTCTAGTTGCTTAATAGTGAGAAAGTAGAAATGCTCTCCAATGTTGAGAGGGTGGAGTGGGGTAGGGTGCTATGGCAGTCAGGGGGGAGCTAGGGGGATGGAATTTAAACTGCAATTTACCAACCAATATAGAAATATTTCAATATTTTTAACAACTCATAGGATTTCCTGATACACATCAATTGAACAGCACCTCTACTTATGAAAATTCTCTTGAAAATTAAAATTATTACATGTAAAGCATTTAAAAAAGTGCCTGGCACAGTTAGTATTCAACAAATGTTAGCTATCATTATTAGCTTCTTTTTGAGAACAATATAAGAATAGCGTCCTTGTTTTATTCAACTGCTGCAGTGAGAAAAGCAAGACAAAAATTAGACTAATTACTGGGACCATTATGCTTCTTTATATCTTATTATAGTTAAAAGGCCATTGTTATTCCTCTAGGATCTTTGTTTAGTTTTAATTTAAATTGATTTGACATTATGAAGAGAAATAGAGGTGGCATTTTGGGATTGATAATGCCAATGCTGGTTAGAGGTATTTTTGTCACTTTGAATTTCATGTCTTGATAACATTGTTTTTCCTTGACACTGATCTGTTTCCTATGTACCTGTGCACTGAGAGCAGTGCCTGGCAGATCATAGGCATTAGTAGTTGTTGAATGACTGAATGTATATTAAAGGGCCTTTTAAAGGGAAAGTGTGGATTGTGAGCTGACAATAGGCATGTTTATGTCAGGTAAAGTATGTTTTCTCAGAAAAAGGCAGGAGAAAAAAAATTAGCAAGTATTTTAGGTATATTGGCCTAATAGGGATGAGTTGCGTGTAAGTTATGAGGGTTCACCTGCACCATTGAGCCTGGAGACAACTTTCTCCCTTATACTGTATCCTAACAGCAGTAGTGATGGGTGCTCCTTGACTCTCTGCCTTAGGAGAGCTGATCTATTTGGGAGGAAAAGAACTTTCCATGTTTCCTACAGCCCAAGATAAGAATAGACCTTGAAAGCTGATCTAGTTCGGAGCACCCAAGGACAATTTATATAGAATATCACTGCAAAAGCTTCACAGTATGCCCACATCTCTTACCTTTGTCAACTCTTTCCTTCAGCTTTTCTCTTCCTTCGCTTTTGCTAGGGAAAAATTCTCACCATCTATGTCCTGATTCAGGAGATCTATTTCTTTCTGAGAACTTAATCTCTTTAGGTTCTTTCTAGCTTGAATATTTAGTACAGTGCCTGCCTGGCATATACAAAGCATTAAATACATATTATTTATGTATTTAATACATACATTTATTAAAAAATTTAGACGTTGTTGTTTTAGCTTCTCTCCTCCATCTTTTCACTTCTCTAAGGATACTTCTTTTACCTGCCTCAGTTTCCTCCCAGTGCAAGGTCCTCGGGCATGCTCACACGTCTACACAGTGTTTTACCAGGAAGAAAGTAGAGTAACAGCAATTTGGTATGGCCATTTGCCGCTAGGAAGGTAGGTAGTGAGGTACCGCTTAGTGAGGTAGGACATGATACATGGTTTCTACAAGTATGAAAGATCTCTGGAGATGAACAGTTGGCTTTATTTTTCCAAGTGGCTTCATGTTTATTGTTAAATCATACATACACATTTGTTTGTGTGCTAACATGGGCTTAGATTATGGTTTATGGAAATCTATATTCTTAAATCATTTAAAAAACTAATATTGGGGTTTGCAAATTTAAACATGTTCATTTAATTTTGTCTTCCCACAGAATTTTGTGCGTCATCACTGGGTGCACAGGCGTCGGCAGGAGGGGAAATGTAAGCAGTGTGGTAAGGTAAGGGCCCGGACCCCACGGCCATCTCAGGAGGTTCCCCAGCCTTTGCAAGCACCCGACGTAGATGAGTCCTGTCACCCGAATCCAGAGCTTATTATGTCACTTCCTTTCCGAAAGGCCTTATTTCTCCCAGTTCCCTTTCCTTAAGAGGTGTTGGAGAACTCACTGCAAGAGGCAGTGGTCTTAATACAAGGAATTAGCACGTTTTAAGAGAGAAGGATGCACTTTTGTGGTGAATTTCATTGTTGATAGTTGAAATAATAGCACTTCCTATTTTGTTAAAACCCCCTCCTGAGGACTACTGGCTCAGCATACTTCTTTGATCAGCAACAGAAAATCAATGGGTTGTTGAACAACACTACTTTTGTTAATATATTATTGTGGCTGAACAGAACTGTGTGGAAGGACAACACAAAAGGAAGAAATGGGTTGCTCTCTTAGGATATTATCCAGTTTCTGCAAAGAGATGCCTTTCTCAGTTGTGGTTATTTTTGTCTAGTCTCTATCTTAGTATGACTGGTCACAGGCCCCTCAGAGTGCAGGGCCACTGGGAAAAGTGAGGTGGGGTCTGATAGCTGCATGCTATGGAACTCCATAGATTCCACATGTTGTTGACCCCAACAGATTTGGGTTAAGGCTTTTTTCAGTGTACAAAGACTACTTTAGGAATGAAGGGATCTTCTGGGAAGGTTAAACTGGTGGTGAATCACACTACAAAGATTTTTTAACTGACATCACTAGTAAGCTGGGCTCAGTAATGGGAAGTTTTGATTTGGTAGAGAGTGGATAATTTGGGAGAATATATTCCTTATCAATTAATTCTTAATTATTTACTCATGAGACTCCTTTTGTGTCAAGCACTGGGGTGAGCTGAGCCATATAGCATTTTTGACAAGAGAGGGATGCAAGGAAATACTGGCTGCCTGAGGTAGAGGTGTTGAGAGTGAGCGAGACTTGGAAAATGTTTCATTAATTTTGCTGTTTTCCCCACTGCGTAGCCATTGGTTGCCAGGTTCTTCTTTGAGAGGCTACACACCTTAGCCTCAAGAGTATGGCCCTCCATTATAGCTGATGTTATCTCCTCCAGTTCAACCCAGTGACTCCCAGTTGGTTCCTTTCTAGCCTATAAAGAAGACAGATGAAATAGGTTGAAAGGGGGAGGAGGTGCAAAGAAGAAGATAAGGAGGAAGGAAGAGGAGAAAGATTCTTACTAGCCATCTGACATGGCTGGGAAGAAGGACGTCAGTCCTCTACTCTCATGTGACCTTCCTTCATTGGGTCCATCTACCCTTCTCTTGCTGGTGTTGCCTTGGGTCCTGTGGATATTCTCTTGCTTAGTGGATTGTAGAGTATCTACAACTTCCCCATAAGAATGTGTGTGTGTGTGTGTGTGTGTGTGTGTGTGTGTAAGAGAGAAGAAACAGATAGGCACAGCCAATTTTCAGGTCAGATGTTAAGATCTAGGATCTAGATGAGCAGGTTCTTCACTTTGGAAAAATATCTACACTGGACAACCTAGTAGTTGGCACCACCCCAACAACATAATAGAGTTGGAGGAATTTTATTAAAAGAAAATCAATAAACATTATATACATTGTGATAAGTAGTCCCTAGTGTCATGTTACACTCCCTCTTCTGGTCTTGTCTTCTGTTGGCATGGTCAACTGAATGAGAAGAACTGGACTTCCTGTATTTTGAGTTGCTTTGACCATGTCTCCTTTCCTGCCCGATGTTCTCAGGCTGCCATCTGGGGGTGCTCACAGCTCTCTGCTTGTCATAGCTATCAGTGAGGAAGTCAGTGATCCCAACTCTTCATGTATAATTCCCATAATATTGTACAATTGTATTCATCTCCTGTGTTTATAATCTAGCTGCTCATGAATTCTCAGAGACTCAAGCACTTATGGCATGATATGGTCTTAGACCTGTGTCTCCTTGTTGGATAATAGATAACCCTTCTTTGGCTCCTGGCTTCTACCCTGGATTAGAGGAAAGGTAGTGGCTCTATTTCCATTTACAGATTAAGTGATTGCAAATTCATTTCAAACTTGGCTGCTATGCATAATTTTCATCAGTAGGGTTGTACATTCTCCTATATCCAGAGATTTCTAAACCATCCCCCATACACACACACACATCCTTATACATATTATTCCATAATTTGCTCTTTGGAATGGGGTGAAAAATACTTCACTTAGCAAAACTTTTTTTTTTTAGAACTGGTGGTTTGCAAACTTTTGTAGTTGTTAGGGAGTGTTTATGGTTAAAAAGTGTTTGTGGTTTCAGTTTCTACTTTTTAAAATCAACAATAAAGTAAATATTTGGACTAATTTTCTCTCAAGCTTTGAATATGTCTTTGGCTGAGTGTGTGTGGCATTTAATGAATATCAGATGAGAGAGCTCAAGATTCAGTTGCCCAGTTGCTTTAACATTTGCTGGCTACCACAGGCTGCCATGTTTATGACCATTACATAGTTTTAAATTTTTTGCATAGTCTTTGTTTGATAGTTTTTATTCATTATGTAAGAGTCAGAGTCCAGGCAGAAAAGAGATGGCACACTCACACTCAAATTATGTAATTTGATGAGTGTTTAATATAAAGAATATTTAAAATGTGTGAGCAGAGTGTGGAGAAACCACAAAGGATAGTGAAGAACTCTGACGCTTGTAAAAGCAGGGAACTATGGTCCAGCCAAGTCTGAAGAGGCAAGGGGATGGAGAGGACTTCTTCAAAGGAGCTGTAACCTTTCGTCAGGAGACTTAGTCACCCTGAGGTCACCTACCAGCTGAGGGAATAAATATTCTGACTTCACTCACCTTCAATCTCCAGTGGCCAAACCCAGTAGAAACCAGAGCACAAGGGACACTCTTGAGGCAATCCATAAAAGTCACCTTTTTACAATGGGACATGGGCTAGAGAAAGAGAGGGAGTGGGTCTGGAGGGGCAGTGGGATTGATCTAGAACATACTGTTTAACATAAAAGCTGTATTCAATCGATGGTTAAAGGCAGGGTGCATATTTATTCTGCAAATGTACCTCTTACTGATCATCACCACATCTACACACTGCATTCATTCGATCAATATTCAACTCAACTGAGTTATCCTTAGTACTTTAAAAAAATCAATATGCTAAGACAAAATATAGTCATGATTATAACTAATTTGACCTTTCATTTTTGAAGCAACCAAGCATCCAAACCCAGCAGTGTGGTAATTGTGGAAATATGCTTGAAATCACAGTTTGAAAGCTTATCTTTTATTTCATTTAGAAATGTATATAAAAGTTATAAAAATAAATGAGTTAACTTTTTTAAACTCAATTCTGAAATGTCAGACATCAAATCTTGAAAGCAGCTTTTAATACAACAACACATAGTTAAACTTTGGTCTACATTTTGGATACCTTCCGTTTCCTAACCAAACATGCCATACCCTTATGAATTATTTGTCCATAAATCATATGGACTTTCTTACGTAATTAGCTTAAGTAAATAAACAGCATGTAGCATTAATTAATTAAATGGGAAAATGTCAAAACTACTCTTTATTGTAATGAATATTGTTAAAAACTAATTTAAAATGAACTTATGGTGAACTTTAAATATTTTAATACTTAAAAAATATATATACGTAAAGGAAATATACTTAATAGCATTTTTGTATTGCAAAAATCCCAAAATGATTAAAAACATTCCATGAGAGTACAGTTGAAATATTATATGAATAGTGAAAGGGATTACAGTCTAAAAATAATGGAAAATATGGAGCTTTGGGGGAAGTTCCTTTATCAACTGAAAGCACCATCCCCTACTGATCTGAAAATATGTGTGCCCTGGGGGTCAGCTTTCAAGAGACCCTGCAAGGTTAGGGACAAAGAATGGAAGGTCAAGGATGAGGATCCATGCACTGGTTAGGCAGGTTTGGTTATTTGCCTGTCTGTGTGTTTGTCCAGCTATAACAGAGGAATCTTCTGCTGTTAGCCTCAGGAGGATCATTGAGGAGGGGTAGAGTGGGTAATACGAGGGCAAAGAAATCCCGCCTCTCCATGGAGCCCCTGCCAACGTAGCTGATGGAAGCCTGGCTTTTCCTTCTGTCCTTGGCTGAGTATCAATAAAGGGGACAAGGGCAACCACGATTCTACTCTTTGCTTCTGTGTGTTTGGCTATTTTAGCTTCCTCATATAGGTGGTATCATGTAGTATTTGTCCTTCTGTGTCTGGCTTATTGCAATGAGCATAATGTCCTCCAGATTCATCCATGGAAGAGGAAAGGGGGAGGTATTAGTCAAAGGGTACGGAGTGTCAGTTATGCAAGATGAGTGAGTCATCTAGATCTACTGTACAGCGTATTGCCTGTAGTTAACAATACTGTATTCTGTACTTAAAATTTTGCTAAGAGGGGATATATTACGTTGCGTTCTTATCACAAAAAACTGTTTAAATAGGGAGGGCAGGAGATAACTTCTGGAGGTGTTGGATCTGTTTATGGCATAGATTGTGGTGATAGTTTCACAGGTGTAGACTTGAAATTCATCAAGTTGTACACATTAAATATGTACAGCTTTTGTATGTCAATCATACCTCAGTAAAGTAGTTTTAAAAAAAGGGGGGGACAGAGGGCTGAAGGCTTAGAAGCAGTGCTCCTTGCTGCAGTCCCCAGGTGGGTAAGTCACTCAGTTCTCACCTGTAGAGCCATTTCTGCTGCCACTGCTCCCCTGGTCTTTGGCATGGTCAGTGTCCTAGTAATTACAGCTAATGTGATGCTCTGGTCACTCTGGTCCCCATTGCTCTTTCTTCAGAAGTGAAGGCACTAGGATTGTGCAGAGAGAGGAGTGCAGCCACAACAAAGGCCCCAGCCAATTCCATAAAGAGCTGGAATAGCCCCTCAAAGTTGCCCTTTCCTGACCAATCATTGGATGTGGGCTGTCCTTGGCCGAGGTGATTCTTTTAGGCTTAGGGCAATTCCTAAAAATGCAGAGTGACTCCTTTGAGAGCCATC